GGGCCTCTGTCAGAAACTATATTGGTGGGCAATTTGTGGAGTCGAAAGACTTCTCGGGCCATGACAGGGGTGAGTTCTTTGGATGTGGGAAGTTTAGGAAGGGGGACCAAGTGAACCTGTTTGGAAAAATGATCAACGACAGTCAAAATAACAGTATTGCCAGCTGAGTGGGGAAGACCAGTGATAAAATCTAAACTAATATGGGACCATGGACGAGAGGGAATGGGAAGAGGGTGAAGCAAACCGGAAGGGGAGCGATGTGAGGTCTTAGTCTGATTACAAACATGGCAGTAGAGTACATAAGTCTTTACATCTCAATACAGTGTAGACCACCAAAACTGGGCTCAAACTAGGGCAAGCGTTTTAGCAGTGCCAGGATGGCAAAACAGGTGAGAAGAGTGAAAAATTTTTAATACATCATTGACCCGATCGGGCGGAACAAATAGCCGGTTGGGGGGGCATGCATCTGGTGGAGGGCACGAATGGTTGGCTTGGAGAAGGTCTCTTTCTAGCTGGGTGATGGCCAGGCAGGCAGAACTGGGAAGGATATATTCCTCACCTTGGTTTACTGGGCGGGAATTGTCCTCCATCACTCTAGACAGAGCATCTGGTTTAAGGTTTTTGTGGCTGGGTCTGTAAGACAAGGTAACATCAAAACGAGCGAAGAATAATGCCCACTTGGCCTGTCTGGGGTTTAGTCGTTTGGCCGATTTAAGATATTCGAGATTTTTATGATCGGTCCAAACCTGAAATGGAACCTTGGCGCCCTCCAACCAGTGCCTCCACTCCTCTAACGTGAGCTTCACAGCCAGTAATTCACACTCTCCAACATCATAGTTGCGTTCGGCAGGAGTGAGACCCTTAGAAAAATAAGCACAAGGATGAAGTTTCCCATCCTCACCATGTTGACTTAAAATAACCCCAGCACCAACCCCAGAGGCATCTACCTCTACAACAAATGGTCTTTCAGGGTCAGGGGCATGGAGGATGGGAGCTGAGGAGAACAAAGTTTTGAGTTTGTGAAAGGCAGAGTCAGCGGCATAAGTCCATGTGAAATTGTAGTGGATGATGTGAGTGCATGGAGAGGACTGGCGATACTGCTGAAGTTCTTAAAAAATCACCTATAAAAATTGACGAACCCCAAATATCTCTGCAGTTGTTTTTTGTCCTTGGGTATGGGCCAGTCTGACACTGCAGAAACCT